ACACACACACACACACACACACACACACACACACGGACCATTTTCATTCAGAAATAGGCACAGAACAACTATAATTTCTAAAAATAACGTTAAAATCTTAATAAAGGATAGACCTTTAGGAACAGAAAATGCTTAAGATGTCTTTTTAAGCTTTCAAGTGTTTTTGTTTGTCTTAGTTCCATGGGTAATCTGTTCCACATAAATGGAGCAAGATATGAGAAAGATCTCTCTCCATACGATTTGTATGATTTTACGGGTGTCACAAGTAGGGTGTTATCGTTTGATGATCTTAGGTTTCTCCCTGGCTTATATATACTGATAAGTTCTTGTAGATAAAAAGGAGCAGTTTTATTTACACATTTGAAACACAAGGCACAGATTTTAAATATTATTCTTACTTTTACAGGGAGCCGATGCAGTTCTTTTAATAGTGGAGTGACATGGTCTCGTTTTTTAGATCTTGTTATCAGTCTGACGGCATTGTTTTGAATGACTTGTAAACGATTCAAATACTTGTTGCTCAGACCTGCTAGGAGTGAATTACAATAGTCTAATCTAGATAGGATAAGAGATGTTACCAATGTTTCTGTGGTCTCTTCGTTTAAGTACTTTCGAACTAGGCCTATGCTTCTCAGCTGAAAATAAAGGGATTTGGACAGAGATCCTACAAACGAGCCCATTGATAAGTGGTGGTCAATATATACACCAAGATTTTTTGACAACTTCTTCACTAGATGTCATATTCCCATGTAATTCAAAGTTGACACTTTCCAGATCTTTATTTAATCGTGGATTCTTTATAAGAATTATAAGAAAAATGTCTGTCTTTTCTTCGTTTAGTTTCAATTTGTTTACTGTCATTTACTTTTTAATTTCATAAAAACATTGCTTAGTGATAGAAATCATTATTTGGCAGATCTTGAATGGTGCTATTAACATACATTTAGGAATCATCGGCATAAAAATGATATTCAATTCATGATTTTGTAAAATGCTTGCTAAGGCCTTTGTATATAGTGTAAAGAGCACTGGTCCAAGAATGGACCCCTGTGGAACTGGAACTCCATAATCGAGGCATGGCGTGCTTTGAAAAAGCTATTTTTAATTTGCACTGATTGAACTCTTTCTAGTAAATATGACTTAAACCATGAAAGCACAATACCCGATATGCCAAATGAGCGCTCAAGTCTAGTGAGTAGAATAAAATGGTTAATTGTGTCAAAAGCTGCGGGCGGATCCAAAAGAATTAAAAGACAGATGTTTTTGCTATCAACGGAATCCAATAAATCAGACGTTACTTTTAAAAGCGCAGTTTCGGTACTATGATGAGTTTTATAGGCAGATTGGTAAATTTCCTCAAGACCATTTTTTTACCATGTGAGCCAAAACTTGACTAAAAACAATCTTCTCTAGAATTTTATAGGCAAATTGCAAACTCGAAACTGGTCGATAGTTTTTTTAATTCATTTTCATCAAGCCTGGGTTTTTTCAGTAAAGTTTTTACAATAGCTTGTTTTGCCTGTGGCAAGTGACATATTCACTGTCTAAGTAATGTGAGTCATAGACTATGGGCTGGGCATCCTCTCCCTGTCCAAGACTCAGATAGACAGGTTGGAGAGAGTACAGAATGCAGCTATGAAGGCCATTCTAGGTTGCACAAAGGACACTCATGTTGTCTGTATGCATGAGATACATCCTTGACCTGGCCAGCATCAGAGTGAGGCATAAGGTGGCACAGGCAAAGCTTTACTTGAATGTTTTGGGAGACCCGAGGCACCCTTTGCATGACAACCTAAGCAGCATCAAAGGAAACAGGATCAAACGGGGTAGCTCATGGATGGCAGAAGCCGAAGACTCCGTGAGGAAAGTTCGTGGCATCGATGAAATATGCTTTGGAAAGGAGTGGTTTGAACTGAGCCCCGATTGCAGAAGCCTGGCCAACGTTCACATCACTGTGGGTCGTGAAAGACGGGAATGTGCTGCTGTCATTAACGACAATGATAAACGACAGTTACTTGAGGAGCATTCCAAGCCAGAGGACCCAGTGATCTACACCGATGGATCAGTCAGGAGGGGTGAGAGAAGTAGATGGGGTTTTGTGGTGCACTGTGGGAACAAAAAGGTTCATGTCATGTCAGGGGCCATAGAAAGAACAACTTCAAGTATGAAAATGGAGATTGAGGCCGTAACAAGAGCGCTTGGATGGCTTCATAATACAAGACCAAGAACTACTCATCTCATCATTGTCACAGACTCCCAGAGCATCTTGCGAAGGGTTGAGAAAGGGCTTCTTCGGAGTGAATGGATGAACCCCATACAACACTCATCACTTAGAGCCGTTGCGTGGATATTCAGTCCTGGGCACTCTGGAGTGAAAGGCAATAAGGAGGCTGATAGGCAGGCAGGCAAGTGCCGTGGTTGCTGGTGAGGTGAAATTTGACAAAGGAAAAGTGTTGAAGACCCTGGAGAAAAAGTTGCGGGATGAAGAAGACAGGGAGACAGCAGAACACCACGCAATCATTAGGATGCGGGAAATGGGGATAGAGAGGGGAGAAGGAAGAAAGGAACGATTATCTGGAAAGGAAAGACGTCTCCATAATCATACAGCCACCTGAACAAACAGTATGGATACCTCGCGGGCTTTGGTGATGGGGGGAACTGAGCACTTATGGACCTGTCCGGAGTGCAATGACGTTGTTGCCCAGGACAGGTAATACAGGTAAGTAATGTGAGGTAGGACAATATCAATACAAGTTTTGAACTCATGAGCAGGCATGGGGTCAAGGTCACATGTTTTTATTGTTGATCCTTTCATACAATTTAAAATATCACTATCTGTAACGAGACTAAACGAATCTAATATCTGTCCAGTTAATTCTGAAAATTCTAAATTTCCATTTGGCTCTAGGTCGAATGAAGAGCGTATTGTATTAATCTTTGTCATTGAAAAAAGTCACCAAAAAACTACAAAGTTTGTCTTCTGATGTTGCAGAGGGGAGAGGAGATATTGTTTCTTTTCCCAGAATAGCATTGGTTAATGGTAGTCTGAACGAGTTGTTCGGATGATTTCACATCTTGTAATTCATGTAGATAGATCTAGTATCTTTTCTTGTTATTTTCGATGACTGAGTTGACTTTGTCTCGGTGGTTAATAAAGATGTATCTGTGAACTTGGAGTTTTGATTTCCTGCACCTGCGTTCTGCCTGACGTCGACGTTGCTTGGCTTCTTTGATTTCAAGTGAAAACCATGGAGAAAAAGGGCTGGATGAAATGTTCCTTTTTACCATTGGAGCATGTTGGTCGATTGCCGCTTTCAGAGTGTCATGAAATGTGTCTGCATCTAGGGATGATAGACTTGTCAGTGTTTTGCTCCCGTCGTCCCGAAGTGCCTGTGTGTCTATTGTTCTCCTGTTCCTTGAAAGTATGCTTAGCTTTCTTGTTTTGGTTTGGAGACGTTAATGTCAACTAACAGAAGAGAATGGTCAAAGATAGCCTTATCTAGAACCTGATGTTTAAAATCATGTGGGTCAGCAGTGATGGTAATTAGCAGGTCTAAAATGTGACCACTACGATGTGTCGGCTCTTTGATTAGCTGCTTTAGATTATGATCGTCAAGAATTGAAACGAGGCGTTTGGTGTCTGGTACAGATGGAATATCAAAGTGAAAGTTGAAATCCCCTATGATGTAAAATGGGGAAGCAGCTTGCTCAAGTTGAAAGCGTAGATCTTGGAATTCTATGAAGAATCCTTTACTTGTAAATTTATTTTTCTTGTTAGGTGGTGGTCGATAGATACATATCACACGGAAGGTAAGTCGCTCTGATCTGATGAAAGCAGTGGCTGATTCAAATGTGCGATACGAAGGACCATCGCAGATGAACTTTTTTGGTAGACCTCGCCGATGAATAAAAGCAATTCCGCCACCACGTGAGCCGCGTGAAAAAGATTTAAGTTCAAAGCCGGGTGGTAGAATGTCGGCTATGATAGATTCATCGCCATCTGTTCGAAGCCAAGTTTCTGTAAAGCACAACAGGCCGATGTTCATTTTTTCAATTGCGTCTCTTACAATGTTTGTTATGTTTCAGCATGACTGGGTGTTAATACAGCCAACTCTTTAGCTGAGACAGTTATGTTGAAAGACATTACGAGTGTCTATCTGTATTAAGTCTTTCTTGCTCACAGTAGTCACAGTTCTATTTTTAGAAACCGTGTCACGAGGAATCCCCTGACACACCATAATTGTTCCATTTCCTTGTCCCACCTCTCGTACCCCTCTTGTCTCTCTTCACTACCTTTGACTGACAAACACAGATGTTTTGTAACTCCTAACTGGGCCAAAGTAGTCAGCACGTTTTTATGAATGAAAGCCAAAGTGACACAAAAGTAACACAAAATTGACACAAGCCAAACGGTATCCCAGGACTCCCTACTCTCCCTCACAGTACGCGGAAGTCAAACTGCAGACAGACCCGGCCTCCGCTCACCAGCCCCTGTCTCTCCAACTCCTCACACAAGATCGTGGCCGGGAGAACCTTCCAGATGTAACTACACTCCTGCCAGTCTCTCGACTCCCCCTGGAAGATGACGTCATCACAACCCAACCTCCACACACGCCCGCCCCCACCCCCGCCCCTCGCACTCAGACGCACAGCCGTGACCGTCGCCCTAGCGTGTAGAACCCCGACACTTCCGTCCCCCACAGCACAGCCACACCGTCGCCCGTACAGACACACGCGTGTCTTCCTGTGAGAGTCAAACGATACAGCGGCCATGACCTCTAGCCGGTCGGGGCCAAGGTGAAGGACGTCGCTGTGTTGCTCGACTTCCTTCCCCACACACTGGCCGTAGTCTGACAAACACCATACATGGCTGTAAGAGCTTCCAGTCACCCAGCGGGATTTAGCCTTGACCTCAGCTGGAGGCAAACCCAGCTCTGGTGGTCCCGGCGAGGCCGACAGGCCCAACACTGACCCTTCCGTGTCCTTCACTCCTTTCCTGGCCGCAAATCTACACTCCCTACACTTTATCTCCTCCAACTTTTCCTCAAGCCTGGCGTACAGAAGCTGAGCAATGTGTGTGTTGGATGTGCTTACATGCGTGATCACTGACATTTCCAAGTTTTCTAGAACAGTAACTTTTGTGTTCACTTGATCCATCACGGAAGCCAGTTGGTCAAGTAGTGACGCCACGCGGTCTACGCGTGACATCATAGCGTCTCTTGTTTCTTCCGGTGTAGTAATGACGTGATACGATAGGTCAGTGACGTAAGGCACCTCTAGTTCTTCTTTCCCCTCCTTCTCCTTCTCCTTCTCCTTCTCCTCCTCCTTCTCCTCCTTCTTCTCATTCTCCTTCTCCCTCTCCTCCTTCTCTTCCTTCTCCTTCTCTTCCTTCTCCTTCTCTTCCTTCTTCTTCTCTTCCTTCTCCATCTCTTCCTTCTCTTTCTTCTCCTTCTCCTCTTCCTCACTGTCAACTCTAACGGCCTCCACCGAGTTCCCCGGGACGGAAGAGGTCCCGTGGGCTGTGGGTGGCGGGTCATTAACCATGACCTCCGCCAGCGGCAAACCTCTGGACACAAGCTCCATATCTACTCTGTCTATTCTCTGGCTTTGATATTCTAATTTTCTCACCAAGTCCTGCAGCAGGCGACTGTTGTCACCGTACTGTGCCGTCAGAGCCTGGAGCGTTTGCTGGATGTTCTCTGAAACAACAACAACAAAATATGGAGGTGGTCACTTTAGGAGCTGTTCCGATATAATCTTACACCTCTTTTGGGACTCTTTGCCCCCCCCCATCTTACATTTTTCTTACGTTTGACAATCCCGTAATATTACATTGTTCTTTTATAATAATGATAATATTCATGACATTTATATCGCGCAAATCTGTATTACAATCATTGTTCTATGAGCTTTACATAGTATTCCTGAAAAACATGATACACACATACATGCACATTATAATATTATTATATGCAGTTCTACATTCACTTAAAAAAATATAAAAACAGAGTAAATCCTTCAAGCAAAATATTGCTTACACTCTTTCTTACTAATAAGGAAAAAGTTGAGACTCATGTCAATGTCAAAAGCGCCTTAATTACATATAAAACAAATTACAGTGGAGTTCTGATAAAGCCATAAAGTCAACACATCGGGACTGAAAAGGCAGTGTAATACGTCATGTATTACCTTGGTTCAAGACCCCTCCCCCGTTTCTTACACATTTTTTTACAGGAGCCAAAGA